TAGTTTTTAGGGTAATATGAGTACATATTAATTACCTAATTTGCATAATTAATTTTTAGCTTTTGATATTTCAAGTAGTAATCATCACATTTCAATGAAATTTGGTACATATATGTCATAGGATTATGCAGAGACCTGATTAGTTTTAATTGGATATTAATTACCTAATTTGCATAATGTTCCACTGATATATAAAGAACCACAAATTGGATTTTAATGAAACTTTTAAAGAGAACTATGCAGAAACCCAATTAGTTTTTGGTAAATATTTATGCTTATTAATCTCCTAATTAACATAATTAATTAACACTGATATCTCAATTACTGATCATCACATTTGAATAAAATTTGGTACATAAATGCTCTAGAACAATCGACAGGCCTGATTAATTTTGGGTTAAAATTTGTTCATATTAATTCTCTAATTAGCATAATAATTCATAATTTTTTTGTTCTGTTCTGTTCATAATAGTTACCTGATTTACATAATTAGTTTTCAGCTTTTCCATCAATATCTCATGTACAAGTAATTTTGAATTAATTTTTAATGTGTCTTCAATACTCTCAGCACACGGGAGTTCTTTCTAAGCTTTCTTTGATTTTTTATTACAAACACCCATTCATATCCTATGTTACAAACTGCATCCTAGAATAATCTAGTTCATTTTGGTAAGGCACTCTTTGATTGGCTGGGAGAACATACATGATTGGATTTCTAATCAAATTTACTGTTTTATAAAATGTACTTTAATTGTGAACCATTGTGCTTTATTTTTATAGGACAAGATCCCGCTAAGACTGGTAAGGAACCTGGTGACCTTGGTGAACTCAGAAATAAACTATTATTTTTCCTGGAAACATCTTTACATTATGTGCCAGAAAAGCTACTCACATATTTCCCATTTGACTGTAAGTACATTACCTAGCTCACCTGATGTAAAGACATTGTTCATTTCAGTTTTCTCAATACATAGCACCAGGCATACATATAATTCAACTTTAATATCCTTGTGTGGTAATTTGTGATAAAGATACCATTTTGTGTGAGTTCCATGAGTGTGGCAATCCACTAATTTCTGGCCAAAGGCATCGTTAACCCAAAATCGACGTATGAACAGTTTTGATTATGCAAACCAAAACATGTTGTTATACTAGAAAAAAAACACTATAACCAGTTCTTTCAGAAATTCACTTATTTGCAATAAAATTAATAATTCTAGAATATCATATCTGTTACAATTTATGATATTGCAATTCATTTGGGATTTCCATCATTTGCATCTAACACGGGTTTCGTGCATTCCTTCATCTTATAATTTCTTCTTACGGTACTACCAGTACCTATAATGTATGTTTCCTCTCCATCAGTAATAAGTAATAGATTTATCAATATTAACTTTTAACATTTCCCAAATAAAGAAATTACATACTCGATTCTTGAAGCCTGTCAATCTTCACTTAGTTACCATACAATGTTGTATTATTTTTCCTTGCAGCATTCTTTGAGGAGAGAGCTCTCTTGCTTGGTCGCTTAGGAAGACACGAGCAGGCCCTTGCTATTTACGCACATATCTTGAAGGACACCAAGATGGCTGAAGATTATTGTAGGAGGAATTATGATCCAGATAAAGAAGGAAATAAAAATGTAAGACGTGCATGAACTTGTGTTCAATATAGATAGAGTAGATGGTTTTTCTGTGTTTTGGGGGGCATGGGTGTGACTTTGATGTAATCACAGATTTTCACTGTAAACTGTTTACTTTTTAATGACAAGAATTAATTTAAAGCACTTTTCAAGATATACCATCTATGATGAAACAGAAATTATAATATGACACCTTCTTGGCAGAAACAACAAATACATACACACTGGCTTAATATATAGAACATTCATTTATTTTGGTTGACCAAAGCCACCAGATCCTGAATTGAGAATACCAATAACATGCATGAAATGTTGAGGAACATAATAACAAATTCCATAATGTTTGTTCACACACTTTGATGCTAGTATTGCTGTCACTTGTTTTGTTGATATAATCTTGATAACGTGCCACTAGACTCCTAGCATGGGAATGACTATCATTCAATTCTTCCTTGTACATTCAACCGTATGATCGTCTCAAGAAATCTTGTTCTGTTGGAGGAAAAAATATAACTGCGTCAATATTTGTCTTCAATCTTATTTTGCAGTATTTGCACATATATTGATCTATTTTATTAAAGTTCTCCAGTTGTTAAGGCTATGGAGTATATATGAACCCTCCAGTCATGTGACTTTGGATTTAAAATGTCTGTTTTTAAGAATTTAACATTCAGCTACCGTGATTGAATCCATACAACCATTGTAGCAAATGCCCCACCATAGCAAGAATATCTGAATAATTCAATGGGTGCGTTTTACTTTGTAGGTTTATCTGTGTCTTTTGAAGATGTATATCAACCCACCAGATGCCTCCACATTGGGAGTCATGGTGAATGCAGAGTCAGCAAAACCTAATATTGATGCATCACTGGCTGTTCTGGAATTACACTA